ACGGTCTCAACTCTCAGTTTTCGACCTGAACGGTCTCGACTCTCGATTCTCGACCTGAACGGTCTCGACTCTCGATTCTCGACCTGAACGGTCTCGACTCTCGATCCTCGACCTCAACAGTCTCAACTCTCAGTTTTCGACCTGAACGGTCTCAACTCTCAGTTTTCGACCTGAACGGTCTCGACTCTCGATTCTCGACATCGACGGTCTCAACTCTCGGCTCTCGACCTCAACGGTCTCAACTCTCAGGTTTCGACCTGAACGGTCTTAACTCTCGGTTTTCGACCTGAAACGGTCTCGACTCTCGATTCTCGACCTCAACGGTCTCGACTCTCGATTCTCGACCTCAACGGTCTCAACTCTCAGTTTTCGACCTGAACGGTCTCAACTCTCAGTTTTCGACCTGAACGGTCTCGACTCTCGATTCTCGACCTCAACGGTCTCGACTCTCGATTCTCGACATCGACGGTCTCAACTCTCGGCTCTCGACCTCAACGGTCTCAACTCTCAGTTTTCGATCTGAACGGTCTCAACTCTCGGTTTTCGACTTGAACGGTCTCGACTCTCGATTCTCGACATCAACGGTCTCGATTCTCAATCTTTGACCTAAGCGGTCTCGACTCTCGGCCTTCGACCTCAACGGTCTCGACTCTCGATCTTCGACCTCAACGGTCTCGATTCTAGATCTTCGACCTCAACGGTCTCGATTCTAGATCTTCGACCTCAACGGTCTCGACTCTCGACCTTCGACCTAAACGGTCTCGAGTCTCGATTCTCGACCTCAACGGTCTCGACTCTCGATTCTCGACATCAACGGTCTCGATTCTCGATCTTTGACCTAAGCGGTCTCGACTCTCGGCCTTCGACCTCAACGGTCTCGACTCTCGATCTCGACCTCAACGGTCTCGACTCTCGATTCTCGACATCAACGGTCTCGATTCTCGATCTTTGACCTAAGCGGTCTCGACTCTCGGCCTTCGACCTAAACGGTATCGACTCTCGATCTTCGACCTCAATGGTCTCGACTCTCGATCTTCGACCTCAATGGTTTCGACTCTCGATCTTCGACCTCAACGGTCTCGACTCTCGACCTTTGACCTAAACGGTCTCGACTCTCGATCTTCGACCTCAACGGTCTCGACTCTCGGCCTTCGACCTAAACGGTCTCGACTCTCGGTTTCCGACCTGAACGGTCTCTACTTTTGGTTTTCGGCCTCAGCGGTCTCTACCTTTGGTAAAATATCGTTGTTTTTTTAACATAATGATTATCATAAATATCGTTTTACAAAAGATACAGTGGAAATTCCAAATCTCTGTTAAAGCATAACAAAAACTAAAATGTTCTAATATTGGAATGAATTTGGTATAAAAAATGAGAACGGTTGAAAAAAAGATATACTCAAAATTTTTCACATTCGCATTAACTTATGGTGAATATTAGAATGATATATTGCCATGTAAGATAAAGATCAAAATTTCTATATTATGGTTGTATTGGTGCATTTCCACATCAGATTATTTTTTATATTATTGTACATTTTAAGTTTAGACTGTATTGAATCGTAATTCGGATTAAAATTATTCTTATCAAATTATATTTGCCTAAATTGAATGTCATAAAGAATATGTTATGGACGTTTCAAAATAAAATATTTATTCCTAAATTGCAAATTTTGTAATATATTTTTTTGGACAAAAACACGAACAGGATGTTACCAAAAAATACAGATTATCATGGTATATTAACGCGTTTTTACCAAATAAATATTATCGGAATTGTTCACCAAAAATCTAATCTACTTTGAAAATTGAGTGTTCTATGAATAGATAATTATATGATTTTGAAAGTATAGTGAGAATCGGATTTTGCCAAAATTGTGTGGGAAATGAGATCGTTCAACGAACCATTGGAAAAGATGCACCGATAATTTCACTACGAAAATTAATTTGGAATTTATTCACCAAATGATAGGAAAAGTGGTTAAATAAGAAAAAAAAATGGATAAGGTAACATTCATTTTAAAATATGCACCCTTTTTTTTTTCCTAAAAAACTGTATATGAAATTGATTTGCTCCTTTTTCCCTAATCTCATGTGTTTTTAAAAAACATTTATTATAATAGTAAGTCAAACATTTGATTAAAAAGTCAAAGTTACTATTTATGTATTTTTTTCAACAACTTTTTTATATTAGTATAGATTTTAAGCTAATTTAAGCTAAACCATAACACCATTACTAATTGAAGATACAAATTGCTATTTTTAATAAGTTGACTTAAACTAAATTTGAAGTTTTTTGATGTTTACACCTTAAAATTCCATACACAATTGCTATAATAATAATAATAATAATAATAATAATAATAATAATAATAATAATAATAATAATTCAAATATAATTTTATATAATTAATTGATTGTATTCAGTCAAGATTGCAAAAAGTACATTATTATAATCAATATAAAATTTGATATGTAAGTTAAATATTTATATCAATTTTAGATAAAATTTATAAAATGTGATAAACTTATTATCTAATTTATGACTTTAAATATTACATATATACATTATAACCTATAAAATTTTATTTGTGCACTTGATTGAAAACTATTTAATTATTAAAATCCAATGAATATATCTCAATTTGATTTGACCAAACTCTCAAAATAAAACATTGGATATTGGATATAGTATATCAATTTAGTCCACAGATTTCATCAACATTTGACCACCAAGCTTTTAAATATACAATATTTCTAATGTTCATTGCCGTATCCTTGCCGGACGACCGGCGTTGTATCAAGATTCCGGCGACCGCCCCACCCATCTCTCTGTTCTCCGGGATCGAACGGAGACATCCTCTCTCTGAAGGTGATTATTTCTTTCTTTCTTTCTTTCTTTCTTCTGTTAAGCACTCGTATATATGTGTTTGTGTATCTTGTCAACTCTTTTCAGTTGGCATTGTACCTGTTCGACAAAATGTCCCACCGACGATTTCATTAGAATAGTAATGAGTTTTTCTTATTCGATACGAGCTTTTGCTCGGTTTCCTAGTTTCCATGACAGAATCTAGATAAGCTTGTTGTTCTTAGCATTTTAGTTCGTTTTGAATATTGTGTAGTGTGTTGGATTATTATTATTACACAAATTATTGTAAGACCTATCATACTTAATGGAAGTTTGCATATTTGTGATAAAAGTATGTCGGCCTAATGATTATCCCTGCCTAGTAGATCACCTATTGTTACTATTATTGTTAAAAGGATTCAGTTTATATTGAAATATGGGGGGGTGTTTGCTTATGTATTTATTCATCTTATGCAGATAATGTGGGTGATGTTTCTTTTACCTATAAACATGAAGAGGGTGGGAAGGCGAAAATCGAGAGGGACAATCTATTCAAGCACTATATAAACACATAAATTCCATGTCACAAAATTTAATCTAAATATTGGGGCATCATAAAAGCATCCGGTCTCGCTATTTCAGGTGTCCTTCGGTTCACACGTCTCGACGTTTTATTTCCATGATCACAATATAAAGTAATGGGACCTTGCTTGGGTCAATTTCTGGGACATCCTCGGTTAAGGCTTTAAGGTTTCAAACTTAATTGTGAAGTCTCACCTCTTGAATTGTCCTTCCTGGAATTGTCGACACGATTCTTTCCCAACAGGCGGGATCGCTGTTGTAGAGTGTTAGAGCACTCTCGAATTCTTTGTCCTCTTCTGTGGTCCACTCAGAATTATTGCACTCGTTCTTGAATATAATGTCCTCCACCCAGGTATGAACCTGGAAATTGAGTTTGTGTCCATTGATTAAGCGGGAAAGTTTCTCCAAACACGATACGATTTAAATAAATAAATAAAAAGACGCTCCCACATCAATGAATTTTCATCCCCATTGAATCAGGCTCTTGAAGTGGTCGAGCAACTTATGGAAAGGCAAACACGCCAGAATAATGGGAGGAATACAAACATCACTTGAGGATTTAATGCTCGAAGAGAGGTAATCCCCGTTTTCTATAAGTACTTGCGTTTATTGTTTTATTGTGCATATGAGGGAGATGGATGAAATAAGCAGGTGCTTTAATATTTAATTACTGTGTTTCCATAACAATATTGCGCATGACTTTTGAATATCTTATGTGCCTAATGTGACTTGATGTGACTGAGGTAGAATGTCCTGTGAAATTTTTGAAACTGGTATTTTTATCTCATAACACCATCATCTTCAGTTGATTTATGTCTCAAATACAATTTTTGTTTACGCTTGTTTGTTGAAGTTGATGTAGGTTCTGCAATCGATGTTTTCATATTAATAGAAAATGTTAAAACATGCTTGCTTAGATAAACTGACCTACCTTTTCGCAGGATTATTAGATGAGTGAACTGGCTAAGAATGTAATAAGGTAGTTGTGTGTTGAAGGTCGTGGCAATTACATGCATATAATCGAATATATGGATGTCGAATTCAATTAAATAATGCATAAACACCAAATTTGTAATGTCCACATAAAAGATTGTCTCTTTAATCTCACTCTCACGAAACATTTAATGTGCTTATGCAACAACCTAACAGTCATAATCTACTTCTTTTCCTCATTTACGAAATATTATACGGCCGATCTACTTTTTATTTTTCTCATTTACTAAATGTTATACGGCTTATATGTGGCGCGTACGTGAACATACTTGTATAAAATTTAATAATTTTTAGAATAAGATTTAGTAAATATGATAATTTTTTTGAATTATGAAAAGCAAAGAATCGAATTATGATTTCGATACTACACCGGTCACTTTTTCCAGGTTTACCTCTATAAATACACAACAGAGTAATGGTGGCCAATTAGTTTTCATAAACGAGTATAAGAAGAAATAGTTTATCGAGCACCTTCGAAATAAAAAGGGTGAAGAAGTTAGTGTATTTGGAGAGGATTTGAGAATTCAGGTGCCTAATTTGGTAGCAGACTCAATCGAGCAGAGTGTTCTGTGATTGAACGATTAAACGATTAATAAGGTAAAACCAACAATAAATTTTTGAGAGGCGCACTCTACTTGGATTTGTTGTTATGTACATTTGGTTAATTTTTTTTTCTTTATCTTAGAACTGTCATTCCAATTCATCTCTTATTGGCTTAGAAAATGAATTACAATAAAAACTTGTGCATTTTACTGAGTACACTGCTAATGCTACACAATACTGATTAGCTGTTAAATGTTTAAAATATTGGTGATGCTTGTGTGATGTAATATCCTATTAGAACTACAAATGTTATTTGTTATTCTTTTTTTCCTGATAACCTAAAATTTTCGAAGATGGTATATTTACTTATCATTTTTTTTTTTCAATCTTTGCTTCGCAGCTTCATCAAGAATGAACATTGATTGGACTTTGAGCAGTTGTTCCTGGATTTGGGAGGAGGACATTATATTCAAGAACGAGTGCAATAATTCTGAGTGGACCACAGAAGAGGATAAAGATTTCGAGAGTGCTCTAACACTGTACAACAGGGATCCCGCCCGTTGGGAAAGAATCGTGTCGACAATCCCCGGAAGTACAATTCGAGAGGTGAGACTTCACTATGAAGCACTAATCGAAAATGTCGTGACAATCGAGCCAAACAACAACCATGACGATCACGAGCAAGAAATGAAACTGT